TGTGGCTTGTTTTCTCAAATCGCAGAAGTGACCGGCGACAAAAAACTTTGACCGGCCGGTGGAAAAAAGCGACGCTGGGACGGACGGCGCACACGTTTTTCGACGGTCCGCATACGAATCGGCCACTTAGGCCCCAGAGGCTGCTGCTGCAGGGAGGCTTCTTTCGCCGACGGGCTTCTTTTTAACGCTCAGAGAATCAATCACATATGAAGGCTGCAAAGTGAAAAAAGCAACGGCAGGGAAGAAAAAAACACGGCCGTGTAGTCGCGACAACCTCACGACTTTTTCGCGAGCAGAACACAGCGGTCGCAATAAAAACGTCGCCAAGACTTCCTTTATGCGAATTTCAATAAGACTCGCCATAAATCGGCGGTGCAATTGCAGAAATCGAGTCGCAGTGTCGATAATAATTTACGCCACGGGCAGCTTGCAGGCCTTGCAAGCACCAGGCCGAGTGATAAGCCCTTCTTGTCATGTAAATTGCACGATGGCAGTGCAGCATCATCATTCCGGGCTTCGCTGGCTTTGGTGGCTTTGCCTGGCCTCGCTTAGTGACATAAATCAGTCCCAGCCCCTATCTTCGGCATTTCCTCCGTGATTTCGGCAAGCAGGCTTCTCAGCAGGCCGCAGCCCCATGGGCCCATGGACCCTCACACACCTGTCGTGTGGGAGCCGGTTCGGTCCAGCTACTGCGAATTCTTGCATAATTCCAGCCGCCTCATCTGCCTTCGCCAGTCCCTAGAACGACAGGGAGAGAAGGAGGAGGAAGAAGAAGCTCAGTGCCCCATCTTCTTGCGAAAGAGGAAGGGAATTAAAAAGAGAAAAAGCGGGGACGGCGAGGGGGAATGTTTAGCCAAGTGGAAGGAATAATCATCGACATGATGGTCGTTGGAGATCGATGTAATCGCATAGGATGCATCATCGGCGGGGCGTTGTTGGTGCTGTTGTTTTCGGACGCGTGAGTCACGGCCTGTCGTGCTCTGTCATCCGTAAGACGCAATGCCGCGGCCACCAGATCCGGCCAGATACGGGAGGTGATCGACACAACGTCGGGAATGACCCCGTAAAGGCATTCAGTCCCAGTGCGGGACTCATGGACCGGGCTGGAGCTGCGGAGCTGGAGCCTTGGTGGAGCCGTGGAGCCCAACGCCGAACATGAACCTGTTGCAGGTGTGCGGGACTGTGCGGGTTCGGGAGGCGACTTTGATCACAAACAATTATCCTTCACGTCCCAATAGCATTCCCCGGCCGCTTTGTTGTCTATTTCTCTGTTTTCGAAGGGGCGGGGGTGGGGCAGGCCCCGCAGCCCCACCGGGGGACACACCTAGGGGGCCGTCGAGCCCTCCAGCCACCGACCGAGCCGGCGGAGCCCTTTCTTGTACCTGTTCGGCGCTTCGGCGCCACACCGTTTTCACGCACGTCTGTCAACCTGCAGCCCGGCTCGTCGCCCGTCCTCCACTTTTCCCTTTGATTAATGTTTCACGAGTGGAGGCCCTCCACGCCACCCACCGGCCAGCCTACCGCAGCCCGCCAACGTCTCTCTCTCTCTCTCCCCCTAAAGGGTTGCCCGAGTGGAGGTATGCGTCTGACCTGCCATCAGGTGAATCATCGCGAGCCCCGTGAGATACGGGGAACGGGACGGGCTGCCTGCACGGCCCGCCCTTGTGCGTGTGTGCGCGCGTGAGTGCTGCGGTGTCCCAAGCCTCTGAATCAATATAAAAGCGGTTTCGTTAATTTGCTCACGGTGACTTTTTTCCGTATAGTTGTTAGGCGGTTTGATTTGGTGTGCGGCGCGGTGGGCGTCCATCCAGCCGTCCTGCATGCAAGGCGTTCGCCGGCATGGCGGGCATGGCGTCGAGGCCGCGGACTCGCTGCCGATTCGCTGGCGGCGGCGCCAACGCGCGCCAACGCCAAGCACGCCATCTGAGCCCCGGCGGCCAGGGCGGCCAGGGCGGCCCACCCCTCAGCTACCCTCAGCCAGCCAGCAGGCCGGGCCTGGGCACAGGTGCACGTCGGCAGCCCCGTTCCCATGGGCTCGTCGTGGGCGGGGAAGGCAGTCCGATAGACCACGCCTCCAGCGCCGCCATCGGCTCTGCAAAGCTCGGCGACGGCGATGATGCCGCCCTGAAAAGGTCGACATCCGGACCCTCGGACCGAACCTCGGACTCGGACCTGCACGCCTCGCCGTCGCAAAGTCGGCCAAGAGTGCAGGTGCGTGCACCACGTGAATCCCAGCGGACTCTAACGCCCGGCGGCCGAGTCCACTCCGTCTCGCGCTTCTGAGAAGTCCTTTCTCCGACATCGGGCACTTTCCCGGCCGTAGTCCCCGCGGTCCTGCGCAACGAGAGCGGTTCGAACTCCCATTTCATCTCATTCCGCCGTTGCTGGAGGAAACCGCGGAACCCCAGCAGCACTCCAGCGACTCCAGCAGGCGACGCCGCCGCCACATGGCCGGGCAGACTGCAGCAGCTGTGGTGGCTGTGGCTGTGCCTCGAGACCGTTTCCCACAGACGCGTCCCGCGCCCCGCCGCGCTCGCGGTCCTGATTCCTCATCTCCCCCAAGCATGCCCACAGTTTGGCGGCGAGGGGTACACCGGCGCACCCGGTGACGCGGCCGGCCTGGCCAGGGAGCTGGGAGCCGCGAGGACGCGGTGCGGACGCGGTGCGGACGCGGCCCGCGCGGCTTGCGCGGCCTGCTTGCGGAATGCGTCCCGGGGACCGTCCCCTTCCTCCCCAACAACTGCACCCTTCTTTACCCCGCAGCTGTGCGTACTACCGCGCCACAGCTGGACCGCCACACGCTCTCACACACGTGCACTCCGTTGCGTGTAGCCCTGCCGCGCCGCCGCGCCGCGCCACGCCATGTGAATGTGAATGTTAGACAATCGGGCGGTGACGCCGGGGCCGGGGAGGCAGGCCCGGCGGCCCGCAGATGGCTGTGACGGCCAGCTGCCACCAATTGGGCGGTCCTCGAGTCCACGACCCACACGAGGCACAGTGGTCGCGAGTCGCGATGAGAGCCATAGGCAGCCATAGGCAGCCATAGGCCATGGCGCAGTCCGCAGTCGGCCGGGTTCAAACGCCACGAGACGCTGCTCCTGACCTTTCTCTCAGTCGCGCCCTGCCCTGCCCGCTCTGCCGCATGCACGTCGCAGTCGTACAGCATCGCGGCGCCGCGGGCCAGGCTCGCTCGTCTGACGGCCAGCTCTACAACTGGCTGCGTCCGTTTGGGGCCGTCGCCAAGATCAAGGATTGCCGTCCGTGGGACGTCGCGACCTCGGTCGCGGCCTCGGCGCTGGAGCAGCATGCCCGGGGTGCGCGTGTCGCGGGCCCAACGGGCCCCGTTTCGGTGCGACGGCGGAAAAGGCAAAGGCGAATGGGCGAAGTGGGGCAGATGCGGCGCGGCGGCGTGGCGGCCAGTGGCGGCGCGATGAATGGCATAGCTGCGTGGCCGCCGTGCTGCCGAGCTCCGAGGCAACAAGACCAAGTGCGCCGAGAGCTTTCCGAAAAATGCAGTCCGCTCCGCCAGTCAGCCAGTCGCAGCTGCCGCGCGACTTGTTGGCCGTCGGATGAATGGCGGTGCCGTTCGTGACGTCACTGTGGGAACGCGAAACGCGGCCTGGGAAAAACGCAGACAATGCGACAAGTTGACTCCCCTATTTAAACGCATTCAAGTACTGCGCGCGGGGGAAGGCGGCCCGGGCGGGCGCAGCGGGGAGGGGCGGGGAGGGGTGGCCGAGGAGCCGAGGGAGAAGGAGGGGTGCATCGCTGCGTCGGCGAGGGGAGGGCCGCCGCGCCGCCGCGCCGTGAGATTTTGTCGACGGGGGTCCGCGACTGATTTTCCGAAGTGGCGCTGTAAGCCGTTCCCACAACGACATGACGGCATCAAGTTTGGGTCGGCCGGCCGGCCGGGTGGCGAGGCGAGGCGACTTCGACTTGGCAGAGCGATCCGTCCGCCAGCCAGCGCGCCAGCGAGCCTGCGAGCGGGATGGAGAGGGCAGATAAACCGCGAGAGCGAGAGAGAGGAGAGGAAGAGGCGGGGCGGAGGGGCACCTGGGGAAGGGTTACTGACCCGTCACGCCTCGCAGTGGACAGCGCGGCGCGGCGCAGTGTCCGATGCCTTGGCTGTGCCGTGGCCGTGCCGTGGCGCTGGCGACGCCGCTGCGCCGCGAGTCCACATTCCTACACCGCCACCAGAGCCCAGCGCGGTAGCGCGGTGGGGCATTTAAATCTCTTAGGTTCACCGCAACGCCCGAGTGAGACACCTTAATCTGCGCGAAGAGTCCCTCAACAAGTTCCACATTTGGCCTCCTAGTGCCGACGCGACAGCACTTGTCAATCTCGTGCTCGAGTTGAGATCGACGATTTGCGACCCCAGACCGGAATGACAAGAGTTCGCACTGACGGACCGGCAAGGCGCGGGCGAGTGCACCCACGCCTCGCCTCGCCGCGCCACGCCGCGCGGTGCGCAAGTCAAGAGGGCGCCGATTCGGGCACCTCGGTGATCGGCAGTGCCCGGGCACTTCCCGTCGTAGATAACGGGGACGCGAGGACGCGCGGTGCGGCCGCGGCCCCAGTCCCTGGCCGCGGTGCGGCCGTGTTTCTGGGTCCCGGAGACGGCGCTCACGGGGCGCCACGGACTCTAGGTTCACGCCCTGCCTGCTGCATGCTCTGCCATTCACAGGCACAGGCCCTCGGCCCTCCGCGCGCCACACCATGGCCTGCCCTACGCCCCACGCCCCACGTCGCGGCCGCGGAGTGCATGCAGTGCAGTGCACGGAGGTGGTGGCGCGGCGTGGCGGCGTGGCGGCGAGTGGACGCGACAGTCCCACGGCATTCCTCCTCGCGTCGCGAGCGCCCCGCGCGGCCGCCGGCGAAAGCACTGCTGGGAGGGAGGGGGTCTTCAAAACATCGCGCAGCCGGGCAGCGGCCCTCTGGTTGGCTACAGCTGCCGCAGCACCAGCGTGAGAACGGAGAACCATTGGCTTGGCGCGACACTAGCGCTCCGCGCGGCCGTCGCCGGAGGCCGAGGGTATAAAGGAAAACGCACGGGGAGGGGAGGGCATTCGAGCTGAGAGTTTTGAGCCGAGTGGACGTCGTGCAGTTCGCCGTCTCGTTCGCCTTGCTCCGTGTCTCGTCGACTCGTCAACCCGTCAGTCTTGTGCATCAGTGCAGTGCCTGTGACCCTTGGATTACCACAGCACCGCCAGTGTCGCCAGTGTCTGTGAACAGTGCAGTGTCAGTGTTCGACGTTTTCTCCCTTTCGCTCTTCCTCGCCACGATGAAGGCCACCACCGCAGTGTGCGACGCCGTGGGCTCAGTGAACGGCGTGTCCGTCGGCCGCGTCCACAAGCAGAGGCGCGACGTGGAGAACGAGGAGGTGCAGATGTACCTGTCCAAGCTCAAGGAGCTGGTGCCCTTCATGCCCAAGAACAAGCGGCTGAGCAAGCTGGAGGTGATCCAGCACGTCATCGACTACATCTGCGACCTGCAGTACGCCCTGGAGGCGCACCCCAACGCCGAGGCGCTCATCACCACGGCCCTGCCCACCGTGCCCGCGGTGTCCGCGCGGTCGCACCACGCCAGCGGCCAGCCCCGCCAGCCCCTGGGAGTGCTGGGCGTGCCCAACACCATCGTCCCCGGCAGCACATGCGCCGTCCAGGAGCAGACCTCAATCACGGTGGGTTTCTTGTCGAGTAGCAAGCGTAGCGAGTAGCGTAGTTTTACGTTTCGAGGCGAGAGGTAGTGGGTCTTGGCTGGCCGTGAGCGGCTTACACCGCTGGGACATCACCAGGTATCGATTCAGCCTCCTTGGAGGGAGCGGGGGGAGGGGTGTACGGTGTTCGACGTTGTCCTTTACCGCGATGCGTCGCTTACATTTCAAAGCAAAATTATATTCGCGCCTCCAATGCATTTGGTGGTTTTCCCCCGCAACCGTGTCCCCGATAGACCGCGGTCTTTGGTCTGCCAAAGTCGAGTCGAGCCGGGCCACGCTGCGCCGGAGCGGAGGCCGAGCCGAGCCGGGCCATGGCCGGGCCGAGCTGAACACCTGCAAGGCCTGCAAGGGTCGTGATTCAGTCCGGCCGCGGGGAAGGGAGGGGAGGGGCGGGCTGGTGGGGGCCGCGGTACACTTTGGGCCGCAACTGTCACACGCGAAATCATTCCCTGGGCCCCTTCCCTCCCCACCCGGAGCCCCCCGCCCCCGCCCCCGGCCCCACGCCGCGACGGCCGCGGCCCGCAGCTGCTAGTCAAAACACTGAGACGGCTCATGGCCTCGCCTCGCGGCTTCTGTGGTTTCGATGTGGCTGACTTGGAAATTGGCGCCGTGCTGCCGGGTCGCCGGCCTTGGGCGCTCTCCAGGCCATGACTGCCGCGTTCCCGGGGGCCGCCACGACCCGGGTACTACGTACCGGGTACTTCCCCGTCGTTGCGACACGACCGCCGGGCGCCATGCCTGTGGCCGCGCTGGTCGTGCCCGTGGCTTGTCGAACAGTCGAACTGTGTACGGCGCTCTCTTAATGGGTGCTGGGGTCCATGCGGGGAAGGGGGAGAAGGGGAGCGGGCGCGGAGCCAGGCCGTGCAGGTGTTCGCCCAGTCCGTGCGTCCGCCGGTCCGCCGGTCCGCCGTCCGCGTTCTGTGGCGGGCCGGGCCGGGCAGGCCGCCGGCCGGGCACCGCCTCGGCCCGACTCGGTTTCTCTGTTAAGACCCTGTTGGCAGTCTCGGCCGGACTCAAAAAGGAACGAAGCGAAGTAAAGCGAATCCAAGGCCTGACTTATCGCTTCGGCCGCGTGTCTTGCGCCGTGCGAGTCTTGCGCTGCGGAGTGGCGGCGCGGCACGGCGCGGCACGGCGCGGCACGAGGGAGGGACGTCCGCTGGAAGTGCCGCGAGCTTTCAATTAGCATGGCGGTGACACCGCTTACGTGTCTGTCTTTGTCGCGCCCATGGGGCGTCCCGCCGTCTCGCACAGTGCGAGAGCGAGGAAACGAGCGCCGAAAGGTCAGCTCTTGTTAGGCAACCCGCCGCCTCGCCGCTCGAAGCAGGGCAGCCGCGGCGCCGCGGGCTGGAGGCGAACAAAAGGCGCCACCAGCCTCCCCCCCCCCTCCCGCTCCGATTTTATGCCCAGCGGCGCGTGACGTCGGCAGCGAGGGCCCCAAAAACTTGTCACGGCCCTGGCAGTCTTCGAACCCGCGACCTAAAAGCGCTTTTCGTGATGCCGGGTCGCTCGCGGGTCAGTGGGGGGCGGGGCAGGCTGGGTGGGGCTCGGCTCTCGGCACGTGTGGGACACCTGGGCATTGCTCGGCCTGCTCGGCGTGGGTGTGCCGGTGTGCCGCCAGCCCCGGCTCTGCGCCCGCCGCGGCACGCGGTAAGTCATCTCGGTACCCACCCCACCCCACCCCGCCCCGAATACGTCGATGGTCGATGGCCCGTCACGCGACTCGGCCGTCCCCGTCCCGGTCGCTCTCTCTTTCTCAACAAGGACTCGGTGACAAGAAAGCGGCGCTTTGCATACGGATTAGCATTTCCCCGCGACGTGACGCACTTACAGTGAAGGACGCGCCGCAACGCGCGGCCACTCCAACTCCCCAAAGTTGTGTGTTGTGCACCTCGCCTGGCATGTCGCCTGGCGACCCTGGACATCCTGACTAAAGGTTTCGTTTCTTTCTCTGATTGCAGACGCCCAGCCACCTACGAGAGAAGGTGCCCTCGTCAGACAGCCGGCCGGTGTCGTGCTGAGTCATCGTTTTCGTTATCTCTCTCTCTCTTCTTCTCTCTTCGCCATCATTGTCATCACGTCACCATCATCTTCCCCGGAAGTGGCCGGCCGTCGCGGCGCCACCTAGGATTACTTCGCCATCCCCAAGCAGGATCTGTTCACGTTAGGAACCACTTATTATGTAGACGACAAATCCTGCGGCGTGTATTCAGCGACTGAGTTTGTGTAAATTTCAAGTGTAGCAGTCCTAATAGAGATTCACTAACTGTGTGCATGAGCACCATTTGAGCTATTTCATATTTTATTGAATTATAATTTATTTTGTTTTCCCCTTTTATATTTTATGGTTTTTATTTTGTAATTCTTGGTAGGATGCGTTTCTTTTGACTTCTTTCTGGTTGAGTTTGAAAATTATCCCGGTTGAACTCGGGCTAAAATGTCTACAGAAGTGAAAAATTAAGCTACACTTGTGGAATCACTGAGATAACGCACTCTACAGTGAAAGGTACCTGTTATTTTCTTATGAAAATCGTTATTTTGTTTTTATTAATCCAAGTGATCATGAGTGGGAGGAGACTATACATTGCATCTTGTGAAGCATCAAATGTGGTTCGTTTTTTGAAGTTCTACAGCTGTTTTGTAAGCATACAGGGGGTTTGAAAATTTATGTCAAAATTGTGACTCGGTTGTTATGAATTTTGATGCATTTGTTGACTGATGCCCCACACAGATCATTTTGTCATTAATGAGGCATTGTATATTTTGTTGTCTGTGATGTTAGAATTTTCTTTCTTTGTACAAACTGTATAAAGTAGGAATATATTTAAGATTTGACTCTGTTAGTCATACTTGTGAAAGCATACATTCATCTCATCCTTGTTTGGTGTATTATTTCACCAACTTTTGTTTCTTTTGACTGATGTCTGGATAAGGTTAATTATTATTAAACAAGTATGAATCTAAATCTCATGTCCTATTTTACCCTGTGCGCCTCCGGGCAGTCCCCCCATGCCGAAACTGGAAAGAGAGAACCTCGCGGTGGACCAAGCTATTTCAAGCCAAGAAGCCAAGGCTGAGGCCAAAATGGAACAAAGACACTGGAAAACCACTACATAATGCACACGCTGGACGCGGAACCGGCGTCCAGTTTGCAGCAGCGCGTCAGCCACTCCCGCGTTACCTAACCGGCCCTGCCGCCATGCCGCCTCCATGCCGCCGCCCGGCCCTGCTGCCCCGGCCCGGCCAGTGGCCAGCGGGCCTGGAGGATGAGGATACCGCCCGTTACGTAACACTGCAGCGCGGCGCTGGCCGTACCTCCGGTGCCTGTGCAGTCTGATTTTGAGCATTGCTTTCGTCGCTCTGTCTCTATCGTACCCCAACGAGACGTCCCGTGAGAGCGAGAGAGACAGATCGACTGAGGTACAGTTCGCATTCAGGTAGTACTAGCAGGCGGCCCCTAAGCAACACTGCAACACCCGCGCAAGCCGGTCGATGGGGTGAGGGCAGTGGCGGAGGTTCGAATACCGACGGGACGCAAGTTTTCCGCGAGGCTCCCGGCCGTCGGCGATGACGTCACGGCCCCGCGTTTGCATACCGCATCATGACCCGCGCAATGCAGTGGCTGTCTAGGAGGGGATGGCGGACTGGCACGCCCAGCACGCGGCGCGAGTGACTCGCGCGACTCGACCGACACCGCGGAGCGTCGATTGCATTTGCCGTGCAAGGCCATGCGGCCATGCGGCCTGTCTCTCTCGCACATGTGCATAGGGCGCGCGTGGGTGTGAGTGTGAGAGAGGGCGGCGAGGAAAGTAGTATTGCAGTCCGCAGGCCATGTTTCCCTTTCTCCAGCACGTTAGACAATTAGTACCGCTGCCCGTTCTGGGGCTGGGCTGCGGGCTGGGCTGCGGGCTGGGCTGCGGGCTGGAGGGCTCATGAGCTCCTCAGGCACGGCTCCAGCTCCAGGCGCCAGCGGCCGCGGCCCCGAGTGCAGTGCACCCTGCCGCGGCTCATTCCGAACGAGGCTGTCGCTGTCTCTCTCGCACTCCTGGAGCGCGCCGTGAGGGTGAGAGGCAGAGCGACGAAGCATCGGACAATGCAGCACGGCGGCGGCGTGGGCACCGCCGCTTTCATCTGAATGTGGGCCGAGCAGTCACGCGGCGTCACGCGGCGTCACGTGGCCGTCACGGCCCGGTACGTGAGCGAGCGTGACCGTCACGAGGTGCAGGACACGCGACCAGCGTCCTGCGAGCAGCCGCGCCACGTCGTCCTGCCGCTTTATTTTCGTTTCTGCGGCCGCGTGGCACTCCATGCACTCCGGGACGCAGACGGGGACGCAGATGAACAGCCTGATCGATGGCCTCGCGGGCGGCGACGGCCGAACCCGCGCTGCACTTCCCTGCCGCCCCGCCGTCCCTGCCGTCCCCGGTGCAACGGTCTCGTCGCTGTAAAAGGAGCAGCGGGCCTTTCAGAGGCGAAGGCGAGGCGTACGACTGCGCGCTGTGCCCCTTCCTGGGTGCCGGCCGCCGCGCCCACACCGCGCCCCGCCGCGCCACCCGGCTACGGGGGCACCCATGCATGGCTCGCGGTGCCTTATGGGTCGACGCCACGGCCCGTCGCGGCTTGCGCTCCTCGGAAGTTCGTTCACCTGCAGCTGCCGGCGCAGCGCCCCGCCCGCCCTCCGGCACGCCGACGACGCCGACCGAGACGAGGTTCTAGGGGCCTCGCGGCGCGGGGTCGCGGATCGCGGAGTAGGGCCGCGGTGCGCCGCAGCGGAGCTTGCATCCGCGCAGCCCCGCGACTCCGCTTCCGCTTGCAGGTGGCTCCTGAGTCCTGAGCTCCTGGAGGCGGGTCGCGAGGCGGTTCCGATCAGCATGTGGCGGGGCGGGGCGGGGCGGCCTTGCTGCGATTTGCACGTGCGTTCATGGTGCTCCCGGCGATATGACCCCGCCGCTCCCCTCCCCGACATGACCTCTTTGTGGCGCCTCCGCGGTCTGCACAAGGCTGCGGCTGCGGCGGACGAGGTTCGAGGGTCGCACCGAGTACAAATTTGAAAGCAGTCCTTTGAACCTTGATCCATTCCCCACGTACATTGACGCTGTCCAATCTTCTCAGACGTTTTAGGCAGTCGTTTAGACTTACTTCGGCCGTTTCTCTAGAGACGTATGTAGATGAGGCTATCCATCCACATCCACATATTCGACCATTGCAAGTTAGCCTCGACAGCTTTTGATGGAGAGTGTCATGTGAGTGGTCTGGGTGCTGCGCTGCGCTGGCGCCCGAGATGTCCATTCTGGAGCTGCATAACGGTCTGGCGGTCTGGCGGCGCGGGGCCACGGCGGTGCAGCGGCGCAGCGGCCTTCCTGCGGCGGCGCGCGGCAGCGGCGGCAGCAGCACAGCACGGCGCCGACGCGCACGGCAGCGGCGGCAGCAGCACAGCACGGCGCCGACGCGCACGGCAGCGCTCCCAGAGCAGCTAGAGGCGCCACGCCAAGCCACGCCACGCCCAGGCCGCCGCTGCATAACGGTGGCACACGGTGGAGGCGCCTTCCGCCCTCTGGCCTCCACCGTCTCCCACGCGGCCTGGACGAGCACGGCAAGGACCAGGACGACGACGGCAGGGCCAGGGCGAGGATGACGCGCTGCTGCTTGGTATTCCGGAGGCCCGCGCGACATCCCGGACGGGCTTTGGCCACAGCGCGTAGCGCAGGACACAGCGCGCCGCCTTACGAGTGGTCAGGTGCGTCGCGTCGGGCCGCCGGCCGCGGCGATGGGCGTGCAGTGCCTGCCCGCGGTCGTGACGCGCCCCCTCCTCCGCTTCCTTATCGGTACCCTCCGCCTCTTCCAGCACCCCGTCCCGCCCCCCGTCGCCGCCTGCAGCGTTACCTCAGCCCGTGAATAACGTTACGCCTCTCGACAACCCTCCCGACGGCATCCTCTTCATCGCGGTGCTGCTCCAGCTCGTGTTCAGTATGAGCCATTGCGCCGCGGACCCCCACTCGCCCATTCGCCGCGGAGCCTTGGCCAGAGCAAGTTTCGCACGCCGAGGTTGGTTTGTCGTAAAATCGGCAGACGCAGTAAAAGTCCGGACAGCGGGGCCGGCCGGCCGCGGCGGACAAGCAAGTTGACGTCTTGCTCGGCAGTGGATGCCGGGGATATTTATATCCAATCCGTTCGCCTTTGCGTTCTCACGGGGTGCTCATTACATGTTGCACGGCCATGTGTGCGTGTGTGTGTGCGTGCCCGTGCGAGCGTACGCGACGCCGCGCAGTACGGCCACGACCGCGCTGGCGCTCGCTGCCGTTGCATCGCGTTGCAACATTCGAACCACTTTGCATGCCTCGAGCAAATCGCACCGAAGTCGCCGCTTTTTCAGGTCTTTTCGTCGTTGTTTTTCATCCGCGGCCCATTGGCGCCCGTCGGCAGTCGGAAGCCCGGCACGCTAATTGCCGCGCGGGGCAAGGCAGCAAGGCGCAAGGCAGCAAGGCGCGGACAGCGACACAGCGGCGTCCGGAGAGGCCTCCGTCGTGGGACTGTTGGGACAGTTGGGACGCGACCGACGAGACCCGGCCGGCCTGGACGACCGCCAACGGGCCAACGGGACGACGCGGTGCGGCGCCACTCTGCGCGCGAAGCGCCAAGCCAAGCCCCCCGCGATCACGCACAAAGCTTGCAAGCCGCCCCGCCTCGCTTAGCTTTCAGCTCTTTGAGGTCGCCGCCAATAAGTCGCGGGGCTTTACCGCCACGCCGCGTCAAGACGGCCCTGGGGGCGCTCACTGCTCTGCTCGGCGGCCCGCGCACCTGGAGGCAGGCCGTCGCCGTCCGTGACAGCCCACAGCAGCCCGACAGCGCGACACAGTTGCACACAGAGGAAGGGCGGGGCGGCACCAGGACGTTGCACTTGGCTGTAAATCTGGCGGGAGGGGCGCTAAGCGTCGCGGGGGCCGAGCCGCCGACGGCATGCTGACGGCGGCCCCGGGCCCTGCGCCCTGCGCGTCGACGGACGGCGTCCGCTTTTTGCGCCGATCGTCGTGCCCCAAGCAGGAGGGGCCGTCACACTGCGTCCACACTGCGTCCACACTGCGTCCACGGCCTCGGCGACGTCGCGGGGAATGCGGCGCGCAGCCCGGCGGATATCGACGGGGAGGCGAATGTCAGGTGTTCCTGCAGCGCCGTGCTGGCCCTCGGCAGGGCCTCGGCCGGGCCGCCGCGGAACGCCATGCCTGCCATGCCGGTGGTGCAGGTGTCGTGGCAGTTAGCAGGTGCGCCCGCCACTCCGACCAGTGCCACGCCAGCGCCACGCCAGGACGCAGCAGGCGGCCGGGACGTCGGCATGCCTCGTC